AGGGATCGATGAGTTTGTCCTAGACATGTTCAATAGGAGTCCCACGACGGTGGCAGCTGGAGCAAAACATACGGGCACCTTCTTCTGCGAGATGACCACGGCACAGTCCTTGCCTCGCACGCCTACTGATGTGATATTCGCAGCCGTGATTGCCTTGAATGCATATTCTGCGCAGAGTCCGTCAGCCCTTGGTTCGCCATGCGTGTTTCCTGCTCCTTCCACCCATGCACCGCCGAGGGAACATCTCAGCCTCTGGAGTAGAGATCCCTCTGGCAGACATAGGAGAACCCTGTAGCCCACAGTATATCCTTCGTCCATCTAGCTAAGATTGCCCATCCCGCGTCGACGACGCCATGTTCCCTCGGAGTGACAACAGAGGGAGTATGTGACGACACACCGCCATAGCAGCAGATGACGGAGGGGAGAGAGAGGAGGGGGCAGCGTACCGACTTGGTATAACCGACCCTGGTCGGAGAAGATGGTGATGTGTCTGTCATAGCCAGCGCTTCCTACATGGCGCGGGGAGCTGTCAGTTGTCGGGTCCACACAAGAGCTCTGGGGGGAGGTTTGCACGCACCAGACATGATGGCGACGGGTGCAGGTGGTGTATAAGTGCAGAGGGTGTCTTCAGCTTCGGAGGCAGCTCGAGGAAATTAGTCGTAAGCGTGCGGGGCGTCGTCTGTTGATGGCAGGACTCGTTGTGGCCGTTGGGTGCTGTCTACGCGTTGCTTCAGCCTGGGAGAGCTCTCGCTCGGTCGGTCGCGGCTCCCGAAGATCACCACCCGCACGGGCCTCCGTCAGCCACATTCCCCAAAATTTCTGCGCTGAAGCCTCCCATTCGACATTTCCGTACTGACAAACGCTGCCCGACGAGCTGATTCGGGCATGAGCGATGTAAGGAGCGCCGAGGCATAAAGTAAAACACCATCCATTGCCCTCTTCGATATGAGCCCAGCTGTCGGCTTCGTTCCCGCCTGGAAGAGACTGGGCCTCAAGCTCGCTCACTTCCCAGATGGCAACCAATCCGGAGACCCCGTGTCTGGACTCGATGTGCCCCAGAGCCCAGAGCAACGCCGTGAATTGTCTGGACCGAGGGAGAGCAACGACGACATCCGCCGTGCTGCTGCTACACCCCCCGAGAACGTCAATCTACCCAGCCTTGGCAAGCGAAAAACTCTCGATGCCCCAGCTGAGGACGACCGTCACGCGTTCAAGAAGAGCAAGAGGGGCGAGGAGGTGTCCCACGGCACAGCCGAAGACTCACTTATAGCTCCTTCACAAGAGGGGACTGGGCCGTCAGATTCGATCCTTCCAACACCCTCAACATCAGACAAGCCAAAGGGAGATTCAAATTATCGCAAAAAGAAGACCAAGGGCCCCAGAGCCCCTCCAAAAGAGAAGGCCGCTCTAAAACACGGCTCGCCCAATGCCCAATCCGCACCGGCGCGGTCACCTTCACCTGCAGAGGTCAATTTCGCCGATGATGGCACAACTTTACTTCCCTCTACCGAAATCGACTTCTTGGCGTCCGATCCTGCTGCAACCACCAAAAGGTCGAAAAAAACTTCTAGAGATACGATCAAGGACATCGCCACCAGCCTCGACTGCACCCCGCCTCAAACAGATCGGCGGAAGTCAGTCACATTCACGCCCGACACCAAAACTGCCGACGGGAATAGCGCCTCGAACCTATTCAAGAAGTGGGTGCTGGACCAAAAGGGCGCCGACGCAGACTTCTCAGCAGCTGAGGTCGCGCAGTTTGCTCCACCCCCCGGAGTGCATCCTGCAAACGGTATTCCAACCTCTCAAGGTCTGACTGCCAAGGAAGAAAAGGAAGCTAGGAAATCCGAGAAGAAGAGCAAAAAGAAGCAGAAGGAAATTAGCTCCACTGAGCCAAAGGGTGACGAGGGAGCTGAAAAGCAACCCGAAAGAACAAAATCATCTGCTGCGGCTGGAAAGTCCGCGACTGAATCTAATCAGGAGACTCCCAATACATCGTCCAAGCCTACACCCAAAGGCAAGAAGAAGGATCCATCGGTTTATCGCTCCTACCTCTCCCAATACCACAACGACCGTGCAAACTGGAAGTTCAACAAGGCCAAACAGAACGACGTCCTTGATAACGCACTCAACATATTCCGCATCCCAGACGAGTATCTAGAAGCACTGCTCGAGTATACCAAGGGGCTGAAGGGTGCCAACATCGTTGAAAGGCTGACGAAGAGGTGCAACACTACACTGACAGAACTCGACGAGGAAGAGAAGAAGATAATGAGCACCATGGATGATGCTCAGGTCCGTGAGGCCGCAAAACAAGAAGCTCTCGACGAACGTCTGTTCAAAGAGAAGAAGCGAAGGCAGCTCGACGGCGACATTGAGAGTTTGAGCAGTCACCCATATTCCGAGGGCTTTATACGACGTCTCAAGCGGCACCGTGCGGAAGCCCTACTCGGTGCCCTTAATCTTGCTGCACCAATCCGGCCAGTTCCTGCACCACCACCAAGGCGAGGGGTTGGCCAGAAGGTTGTCTTCGACGATCTGGGACCTTCAATTGCTCCAAAACCTGTTCGCAAGCGTAAATCGAGAACTGATATCTCCAGTGATAGCAGCAGTAGCGACAGTTCAAGCTCCTCAGAGTCGGACTCGGAAGATTCCGACGAAGAAACAAATTCAACTTCCAGCTCTGGCTCTAGTTCAAGCGATGCCGAATCAGAAGACGAGAGTGGAAAAACAAGCGAGGAGCAAGGTAGCGATTCGGAGGACTCAAGCTCTAACTCCAAAAGCGGGGGTAGTGGAAGTGACGACGACGAAGACAGCAGCAATAGCAGCAGCGATAGCGACTAGGTTTTCGGTTCACTAATAGGCTTGCATCTGGTTCCGCGCATTTCTTTGGGTGACTTGAACAGCATACGGTGGGGCAATAAGATAAATTCTGATATGGGAGGCATGTTACAGAACGTTCTAAAAGCACTTCAGACAGACAAATAGATTGATATGCACCTCATTAATGTTTCATCTCTATTGGCCGTTGTATGCCCTATCGCAGCCAGTTCTCCGCGAGGCTGATGTTGGGCTTCCTAACTGAGTTTAGTGTGTGCTATTCTAAAGGCATCCGTGGTTCTCCACTTCCAACCCCACTTCAACATCTGACACTGGGTATCAACCTTCAGCTCTGCATTCATCAATCAATCCGAAATGGCGTTGGCGAAACTACCCACCGAGTTAGTGGAGAACATCGCGAACTACCTCGACCTAGCAGCCTTCCGTTCCCTCCGCCTAGTTAGCCGGCCGCTCAAGCAACAATGCGTACATCATTTCAGAGAACGCTTTTTCCGCAAGCGGACGGTTGCATGGACCGTTGAAAGTTTTCAAACAGCACTTGATATCATGTCGCATCTCCACTTCGGCAATGCCCTCCAAGACCTTGTCATCGATGCCACGCCACGCCACGCGATCCAACTTTGGAAGCTCAGAACCGAGATTCCCGAAGATGGGGAACCCTTCCCAGGAGGGGAATACCAAATTACGAGAGTACAAGCCGATGATTTGGCCCGACTGTGGAATGAGACACAATATGACCGAAAGGCACTGATTCGGATATTTGAGAAGGCTAAGATCCTGCACTCGATCACCTTTCTATACGAGGGCATGGATAGGCGCTACGGAAAGTTTTGTCGAAGATATTGCGAGACGAGTCAGAATGAGATGAGCCGGCCCTTCGTGTCGACTATGCATGCCATCGTCGCGTCTGGTATCTGGGTCCAAAACATCTACACCCACCGCAAGAAAAATTATGGAGCAGTCAGTATCGGCCGACTCGAGTCTCTCTCCCCCGTTCTCTCCAAGTTGGACGCCGCATTGGAGAATCTACAGAGCCTTAGTCTCAATCTGCGCGATTGGCGACACCCCGAAGTAGGCTTCCCCGCGCAGGTTGGACGGGTCCCCTTCGTGGTGCGCTTCCTCTCCAAGTGCAAAAGCATTCGCTCGCTGGAGCTGTCCTGCTATAGCAGTCTCGAAGATGACATCTTCGCAGAAATGGCGAAACATTGCAAATACCCGCATCTGGAGAGCTGCAAGCTAGACCTCTTCCGCATCTACGCCATGTCCGACATGTTCTCCTTCCTCGCCCCATCTCGTCAGTCCCTCACTAGCCTATCTCTAAACAACATCGTCTTGCGCGACCACACTGCTGAATGGCCGGAGCTCATGCACCGCATGGCTTCCGAACTAGATTATCTAAAGTCGCTTGAATTGAAGAGTCTGTTTTCTAGATTCGGTTCCAGAATTGGATTTCTGGATACCTTCGTTGGGACTTTCACCGACTTCACCCGCAACAGTGTTATCATCTCGGGGCAGAGCTTGAAAAATGAACTGACGGAACTCGCTGGACATCTTGTGATCGGGAGTTTTGGGCCTGCGTGGCATCTCGCGGCTACTGCGTATCCCCTTATTAAAGTGAGGAGTTGATATTTTGGTGTATGGCTTTTTGGATAATTGCGGAAGGTACTCTAATTTCTGGCTTTCAGTAGTTCAATATTTCGGCGCTGCACAAATTACGAATTCTACGGTATATTCGACCTTGTTATTATAATAATGGTGCAAGGGGAATAACGAAGCACTAAAACAACCTTTACATATCTTTGAAATAGCTTTTCCTTCGTTAAATATAGCAATCCCCAACTGTCTTCTTCCACTTCACAAAAAGATCTCATCGACTTTAAATTGCAATATCTGTATCTATTTCGGAAATAAGCTGTTATCGCTAAACAGTTTTAAATTGTTCCGTTGGCTTCTTTGGCTATCAAAGCAAACAAAATAAAATACGTGACGTAGACGACGGGCAAGCAAGATACACCACGGATTCGTCTGATTTCGTCAAACAAAAAGAGGGAGTTTCACTGCTCCGATTTGTTATCCTCTAGCTTACGCGCACCAACAACTCAACCTTATATACTAGATAGTGTAAGGTAGTAGTATTCAAAAAAAGCAGATACCCTAAAGTTTGCTTGGCATAGTAGTAATCACGTCGGCTCGTCGTGCCTAAGCGCGGGTTCGATTCTCGTAGAGAGAGATTCTACTTTTTCTTTTTTCGCTGAGATATTTTGGAATAGGTGTTTTTTTTTAGCATTTCAAATAGCGTGTCTAGAACAAGCGTTTATTGATAAAAAGAAGGAGTTCTACAATCCCGATTTATGTAACAGCTCTGCAAGTCGAGCATAAGAGGCAGGACCCTGGACGGTGTCATGTAACTAGAGCATTCACCTTTGGACGAGGCCAGAGTTAGGAGAACCCCAGGCCGAAGGCACTCTGGCCACGCCTACTTTGTATATAGAGAACGCGCTCCTAGTTACCTTCCTCTTCGCTATCTTAGGATAGCTGAAATGGAGGCAACCAATCCCGTGCCTTTGCTCACCTTTTAAGAACCGAAATCGTCCTACAATTTACTATCTACTAGCTTACGCGCACTAACAACTCAACGTTATATACTAGTTAGTGTAAGGTAGTAGTATTCAAAAAAAGCAGATACCCTCAAGTTTGCTTAGCATAGTGGTAATTATGTTAGCTCGTTGCGCTGATAACACAAGTTCGATTCTCGTAGAGAGAAATTTCTACTTTTTTTTTTAGGGGTTGGGCTATTTTGGAATCTGTTCTTACTATTTTAAGAAGGGAAATTTTAACAAAAAGAAGGAGCCTAAGATGCGAGTTACTAAATGTGTCTCTACTTAAGCACCTATTGGCTAAAGAAGGTATTACTACTATCTTAGATGCCAAAGTAGCAAACATACTGCTATATAGCATTCCTGCCTAACGAAGCCACCGCAGAGCTTACCCACGAAGCCTTGAAATTAGAAGCAAACCTAGTACCTTTACCTAGAGGCGCAGGATAATCTTATTGCAAAGCTTTTTCCTTCGAAGATACGCAACTTCACCGGGTAGTATACTTGAAGAAGCTCATTGTTGTCTCGTTGAACCCGGATGCAGACCCCATGATATCAGCCAGAGTCATGGAATCAGCGAAATACAACGCATACGACTATCTAGGAAAAATTACACATGCATTCACCAATTCTGAACTGCGCACTTACTTTAGCTCAAGCAGACCAGCCACTACCGCGCCCTTTATTCCGAGCAAAGAGAATGGCATTCTGACTCGGGATACCTTGATGAACCTATCCAAAGCTGTGCCAATTCCGAAGAGCCGTAGCAATCAACAAAACTATTTGGAATCTTTCGCCCAAAGTAGGCCTGCGAGTTTCCTTGGTGCTGGAAACGGTATCCTGGCGTGTGCTGAGTTGCCAATCTTCTGAAGGATGCCTCGCAGGCCCGCCAAACACGAACACGAAGCGGTTCTCTGCCACCTCATGGCGCCATTGCAAGCATTTGAGCAAGCGAAAGCGTCTAAGAGTTCTTCTAGCAGGGCGACTCGGCGCATCGCTTCTTCGACTTCCACCATGTCCGTTTTTGGACGGAAATTACGATGCTCTCGGAGAGTCTGATCCAGATTCGTGGTGCTTGGGTCCAGAGGGATGTTCAGTCCTCCGCTACACCGTGCTGGTTGATGGGCGGCCCTGTACAATCGAAGCTTTTCTTCTAATGCCACAGCAAGAACACTTGAATGGTCAAGGGATCGCTCTATGCTAGTGGCTTGCGTCGTTGTGTAGTATAGCAGTTAAGCTCTCCGCCACGCCGCAATGCGCAGATGTAGGGACCGAAGACCTTTGTATTTAGCTTACGCTTGGTTAAGACACCCTTCTTCAAATCCTACAAAACATGTTCCAAATAGTTTAGCTAATAAAAAGGCAAAAAAAGCAAAAAAGTAGAAACCTCTCTCTACGAGAATCGAACCCGCCCTTTAGCACGACGAGCCGACATGATTACCATTATGCCAAGCAAACTTGAGGGTATTTGCTTTTTTTGAATACTACTACCTTACACTAACCAGTATATAACGTTGTTGGTGGTAAGCTAGTAGATAGCAAATCAGCAAAGTAGAACTCCTTTCTTTGTTAGTTAGTTCATGCTTGTTCAAGATGCCCTTGTCAAAATTCTAAGAAACATATTCTAAAATAGCTCACTAAAAAGAAATGCAAAAAAAAGCAAAAAAGTAGAAATCTCTCTCTACAAGAATCGAACTCGCGTCGTTAGCACAACGAGCCGACGTAATTACTACTACGCCAAGCAAACTTTGAGGGTATCTGCTTTTTTTGAATACTACTACCATACACTAACTAGTATATAACGTTGAGTTGTTGGTGCGCGTAAGCTAATAGATGGAAAATCAGAGCAGTGTAATTGAGATAATCGTATCAACGAGTCTCTCACTACAGCATATATAGCAACAAAACAATAAGCAAGCAATGTCAAGGATTTAATAGACCTAGCTATTTATTAAGGGAAAAGGACCTTTAATAGAACAGCAGCTATGGGCGCGACCTGCGCGAGCTAAGCCTCGATACAAGTACATGATAGTACCGAGCCGTCGAGCCCGACGGTCGTATATGTTATCGACGCCCTCACACAGAAGCTTCCCAATGCGCCTCTAGATGCTGACTAATAGAAATAGGCAGCCTATGTAGCATAAGACTGACGTTGTTTTAACCCTGCAATCGAATGGAATAGAAATGTAGGTCTTTCTGTGCCGTCGCTGCGACGACAAAGCGAGAAGGATGGAATGAGATTGATGTGGCAAACTAAAAAATCACCGATTTTGGATGGAGAAGAAGCGTCAACGCAAGGACAGCAATGGATAAATATAAGCCGCGAGTGTAACACTATATCGACTTTTCATTCACCTCGCGTGGGGTGCGACTGTATTTGTATGTATGGACCGCTTTATACACATATCGACTAGGCGCACACTTGCTAATGACATCAGGCATGATGGTTACGCATAGTAGGTGAAAGGCCATAGATGCGAAAATACCAGGTGCATCATAACTTGCACATGTTCATATACTAGTTACTGTAAGGAGGTAGTATTCAAAAAAAGCAGATACTCTCAAGTCTCTCTTGGTCTAGTGGTAAGTACGCTGGATCGTCGTGCCGAAGAGGCGGGTTCGATTCTCGGAGAGAGAGATATCTACTTTTTTTTTTTTTTTTTAAATAGCTTCTTTGTTAAGCTATTTTAGAATGAGGATGAAAAAACACATTTGGGCCTAAAGCAAGACTCAGTGGTCTATTGTTTCAAAGCAGAGAGGAACCCACTTGATTCGCAAGCTCAACAAACGATACGATTGGAATGTGCAAGTCTGATGGTCAGACTCGCACTTCTACGTCGTCTACCTATGCACTCAGTCATCAACCCATCCCCACTCCGCACTACTTGCCCCCTCTCCTCCTCCCCCGCCTCACCATGACGACCTCGACGTCCCCCCCGCCCTTCTCACGCGCCTCAACCCACCTCTCCGGCCTCCCGGCGGCACGATGGTCCTGTTCTGCATGCCCACTGCGCCGTTCCCGGGGGTACATCTCTAGCTTCCAGTCAACATGATCCTTCTCTGTTCGCGGATGTGGGTTCTGCGCTGGGGCACGCCGTCCCGACTCCATTTTTGGTTTTGGGCGGGGTTCCCATGCTCTGCGCGAAGATTCCTTCCCGTGTAAGCCCAAGCCGTGGATTCTCTCCCTGCCTCGCATTTGCTCTTGCCTGTGCGTTTCGTTCGGCCTATTGCTCCTAGCATCCGCATACCGCGCCTTGTGCAGCTCCTGCAACGCTGCCCGGCGCGCCTGCTCCCTCTCCGCCTCCGCCTTCATCTTCAGCTCCTCCTCTCTGGCCATCTCAACGGCCACCTCCCTCGCGATGCGCATCCGCCGGCTGAACTCACTCTCCTCTCTATTGGTGTTGCTGTCGTAGACATTCTGTCGACCGTCCATGTACCTGAAGACGCCTGGGGGGTTGTGATAGGGGCGGGGGTATGTAGGGGAGTGGTAGGGATGTATGTTGTCGGAATACTGACCGTAAGCATGAGCATGATGGGGCGAAGGAGCAGGAGCGGGAGATGGAGGAAAGGGGTAGAAATGCGGATATTTGTGCGGGTTTCGAGCAGGGAAGGAAGATGAAGGTGGAACAGGGGAGGTGGGGTACGAGGTGTGCCAACTGTGCCTTTCATCTACGATGACAATGGGGCCGCGGTAGTCGAAGAAAGGTGATGGGTGTCGGATTCCCATGTTGGAAAAGGGAGGCACTTGCGGCGTAGTGGGAGATGGTGGTGTTGTTCTGACAGTCCTCTTGCGGTGTCATTTCCTGACTCTTATACTACTTGATGGACAGTATTGGGCAAACAAATATATCACGAACTGCTTGCGGCTTGTTCTTTGCTCTGCCAAAGTGACTCGATTTGTGTTCGTTCGTAGTAGCTAGAGGTGTCTATGGAGTTCTCATGGAAGTGTACAGTACAAGAGCGATATCAGAGCTCCGTGAAATCAGTACATGGTAACTGAGATATGGAAATACTAGGTCAAGGGAAGGGGATAAAAAATTGAGATGTGTAAGAGAGCAGATCAGGGGCAGAAAGAAGCGTGTCGAAGGTCTTATTTGCTACCGCATTTCTGATTGTCGTTTGGAAGCACCTCAACTTGAGAGTATGGTGCGCAATCATCGTATGAGGGTCGATGGGAGATGCTAATAGAGCAGATGGAAATGATATGGTGGAATATCCTGCTGGGCGACAAGACGATGTATTTGTGACGACTGAGATCCTTCTCCTTCTGTGCGGTTCTCGAATAGCTGCATCCGTCTGAGTAACAAGCTGTTGGAATAAGAATTAAAAGTAATAGAGAAAGAAAGCACATTAGAAGGTAAGAATATAGGGGGAGGGACGCGGATTTGGAGATTGGATCTTAGAGGAGTTGAAGCTGTACGGTGGAGAAACTCCCGCTATCAACAAGCTGAACGGCGTCGTTGCGCCGACTACGGCCTCGAGGGACAAGCAGAATAGCTGTGTTGATGGGACCACGGCGCCATCGCTCGAGTGAGGCGGCAGTCCACCCCCGGCCGAAGGTACTTTGCCAATACCTCTAGGGCTGCGAGGAAAGTGCATCTACGAGGCTCAGATGACAAAGTGTGCAAAAGTACGGAGGCAACCGTCGTTAGGTAGAGCAAGTGGCGGCCGGATGAGCGGTGATTAATAAACTCTCCACTGTGGGCTGTGTATCCAAGTCTCGCAGCCTATGTTCGATGTGAGGAAGACCGGACGAGACGATGGTTTCGATGCGTGGATGCCGTCGGAACGGCGCAACTGCTGTGCCTCCTCGAAGGTCCCGGGCGGGCGCTAGGCCTAGACGGTGACTGAAATGCGGGGCCGAAGAACGACCGCACCTGCCAGGCCGAGGCTCATCGCCGTCGTCGCAAACCCGTGAATGGATTCGCCTGCGAGCTGCAAGGGTAGAGAAGTGGTGATAAGGGGCCGTTGTTGCTCACGTCTCAATTGTGCTCGCTATTAGACACGCCCATTCGATCTATCCAAATCATCAAGTCGCCCACCATGGCCGCCCTCCCGCCCTTCGAGCACACGCCCATCGAGGGCATCGCCGACACGGTCAAGACGATCCGCACGAGCTTCCTCTCGCACAAGACGCGGCCGCTGGAATTCCGACTCGTGCAGCTGCGCAAGCTGTACTGGGGGCTCAAGGACAATGAGGCGCTCGTCATGGAGGCGTGCAAGAGGGATCTCGGCAAGTCGTCGTTCGAGACGTATTTGACCGAGTTGAGCTGGTGCATGAACGACATCGTCTTCATGAGCAACAACCTGGCGCGCTTCGCAAAGGACGAGGCGCCCGAAGACATCGCCTTTACGAACAAGCTGTTTGGGCCGCGCATCGTCAAGGACCCGCTGGGCACGGCGCTCATCATTGGGTACGTCATACATCGCCGCCTCGATCGTGGCACCGCGACGGGACGGAGCTAACCGCTGCAGAGCGTACAACTTCCCCATCCAGCTCTCCCTCGGGCCCTTCATTGGCGCCATCGCGGCTGGCTGCACCGCCGTGCTCAAGCCATCCGAGGGGTCGCCCTACGCCGCTGCCGTCATGCAAAAGATCATTGCCGAGTCGCTCGACCCCTCGTGCTATACGTGCGTCCAGGGCGCCGTGCCCGAGACGTCGGCGCTGCTGGACCAGAAGTGGGACAAGATCTTCTACACGGGGTCCGTCGGCGTGGGCACCATCATCGCGAAGAAGGCCGCCGAGACGCTGACGCCCGTCGTGCTGGAGCTGGGTGGCCGCAATCCCGCCATCATCACCAAGAATGCGGATCCGAGACTGGCTGCGAGGCGTCTGCTCTGGGCCAAGACGCTGAATGCCGGCCAGGTCTGCGTGTCGCAGAACTTCACCATGGTCGACAAGGAAATGCTGCAGCCCTTCATCAAAGAGATGAAGAATGCGCTCCAGGAGTTCTACCCCCAGGGTGCGCGCAAGTCGCCCGATTACGGCAGGATTGTGAACTTGAGGCAGTTCCAGAGACTGAAGAAGATGGTGGACGACTCCAACGGCAAGATCGTGGTTGGCGGGACCATGGATGAGGCAGATCTGTTCATCGAGCCGACGGTTGTGCTAGTGGAGAGCACCGACGACAGCATGATTCGGGACGAGAGCTTTGGGCCTCTGCTGCCTATTCTCGCGGTTGAGAATCTCGACGAGGCGATCAAGATTGCAAACGAGGTGCACGACACGCCTCTGGGTCTCTATCCGTTTGGAACCAAGGCCGAAATGGAAAAGGGTAGGTACTGCCCATACGTGACGTGCACAGCCCGCTGACATACATAGTCCTCGCCCAAACTCGCTCTGGAGGCGCCTCCCTCAACGACGGCTACTTCCACGCCTCCATTCCCACCCTGCCCTTTGGCGGCGTTGGCTCCTCCGGGTCTGGCGCCTACCGCGGCAAGGCCTCTTTCGAAGTCTTCACGCACCGCCGCTCCGTCACCAAGACGCCGGCTTGGATCGAGGGTATGCTAGACGTGCGATACCCTCCGTACACACTCAAGAAGCAGAAGAAGTTTGCGGGCATGAATGAGTTGAAGCCGAATTTTGACCGCGAGGGACGGACCATTGGATGGGTGGCTTGGTTGGCTGGCCTGATTGGGATGAAGAGCGTGGCTGCGGTCATTGGTAAGTGAAGTTACAGCTCATGTTCAGTTCTGTTATGATACCACAAATTTATTCTTTTCATCTGCGTCCTCCTTGCGTTGTATAATGAGCGGGTGTCAATGTCGAGTTGTGCGGCCGGTGAATGAACGAAGCTAACGGTTAGTAGTTGCGGCCGGAATCAGACTGTATCTCCAGCGACGGTCTAAGCTTTGAGCTTGAGCATTAAGAGGAGGTGATATCGTGGTGACGCTCGCTATTCTACTGGTTCCTGGCGCCTTATTTGTGTAGCTGAAAAGTTCTCCATGGGTTGAGAGACATGGTCTTAGCACAATTTGTACGAAGGTGGACGGATGATGAAGTATGTGGACACTATTTGTTTTGAATGCTGATATAGCCGTGTATAATGCATTTCTTACGTCAATTCATTGACAGATCAACTTTCGCCATCAAATATGCCTCCACTCCATCTACTTCCTCTCACTCTCGTTCAACCACTTGTACACAACCCTCGCATCCTTCCCCTTATACCTCTCGTCCCCCATGGCCTCCCCGAACGCATCCAACGTCGGCTTATCCAGCACCGTCCGCGCGCCCACCATCTCCGCAAGGTCACTCCCCATCTTCAGCACCTTGGCACACAACTCGATCCTAAACCCGCCCTCATACCCCCTGGAACTCGGCACATTGGCCTGCACCCCGGGCACGGGATTGCTCTTGCTCGTGACCCAGCACTGGCCGCCAGACACATTGATCACATCCGTCAACAAACTCACATCCAGCCCCATCTTCGAGCCTATATTCAACGCCTCGGACGCGGCCAACGACGTGATAGCCGAGAGGTAGTTGTTGATGACTTTGAACGCGGTCCCGGCGCCCACGTCCCCGCACAGGAACACGCTCTCCTCCTTCCCCATGTGCGCGAGCACGCTCTTCACGGCCGGAAACGCCGCCTTGTCATCGGTCCCCACCATGAAGGTCAGCGACCCGTCCTGGGC